GAAGCAATCTGTTTGGCCAGAGGCATATGTTGACGTGGATAGTTTCAAGCTGCTAGAGCAATATACAGACACTTCTTTTGGTTGTACTCTCAAGGGTGCACAAATATTTTTTTTTTAATAGTCAGAAGAACTGTAACCACTTCTTCACCTAGCCGTACATGTGCTGCTTCAGCAAAATGAAGAGCTTCATGCAAAATAAGCTTTTTTTCATTAAAATCAGTGATAAGGGAACCATATTAAAAAAAATCACTTCTTTGTGGTAGACTTCAAACTAACTGTCAGTTCTGATTTACAGTAAGAATAATAAAAAAAAAATAACCTTTCAGATGTAAATTCAGTTGATTTAAAAAAGCAAGTCAAGATTGTTGGAAAATAAAAGAAATATTTTCATCAATATACAGTCTCCTCAAACTATGTTTATTGACTTCAGTTCTTACTCTTGTATTTTTATGCAGACGCCAGCCTGTGAGTCCTCCACCCCCTCCAAGGCCTATCTCCCCACCACATACCTATGGATATATCTCAGGGCCCTTGGTCTCTGATATGGATACAGATGCCCCAGAAGAGGAAGAGGATGAGGCAGATATAGAGGTTGCCAAGATGCAGAACAGAAGGCTCCTTTTGCGTGGCCTTGAGCAGACGCCTGCCTCCAGCGTGGGGGATTTGGAGAGCTCTGTAACAGGGTCCATGATCAATGGTTGGGGTTCAGCCTCCGAAGAAGACAACATCTCGAGCGGGAGGTCCAGCGTCAGCTCTTCTGACGGATCGTTTTTTACTGACGCAGATTTTGCACAGGCTGTTGCGGCAGCTGCGGAATATGCTGGCCTGAAAGTAGCCAGGCGTCACATGCAGGATGCAGCAGGAGGTGAGTCTGTCCTCTATTCAATGTGAGAAGGAAAAAAATATGACCATTCAGAAATGTATTTATCCACAACCACTTCCTGGATTCCTGTGTTTCTTACATTTAGAAATCCGGGAGGGGAGGTCAATTTACACTGATGGAAGATCTTGTCAGAAAAGGAGTTTCAGTTAAACAGATCAAATAAATTACTGCTCTACATTTTTTTTCATAAGTAGTTCCTGATTTTTTGGTCTCACTGATTATTGCAAAACCTCAGCCCTGCTGGTGAATTTGCACCCAGAAGTGAAAGAGGGGGGAACAAATCAATTACAGAAGTCTGTCCTTTTCCTAGTATAAAACTCCCAACGTTTTCAGTCACTTTTCATGAGAAGTTTAATCCCTCTGTATTTGAAATATCCAAATATATCATAAACCTTTAGAGTCATATTTCCCCCTGAATATGAAAAGAAAAAGGAATCTAATTGTTTTTCATTTTATATTTTGTTGTTATCTTTTGAAGAATGCTATCGAAGCTCTTACTGCTGTATTGTTGAGATGAAATGGATTTGTGTTGGTTTTGTAATTTGACAGCTGTTATTAGTTGTCATTTAGATTATAGATTATGCACATGCAAAAAGGCCTTATGCATGTGTTATTTCTCTTGTGAATCACCAACGGACGTGTAAAATGTGATATTTGAAATAGTTAATGTTTTGCAAGATACTGGTTACTAGTGATGCTGGCTATATACAGGTAGTCAGTAAACTGACTAGACCCAATGCAGATTATTATAGTTCCGCCAGGAAATAAGAATACCACAAAGTAGGATGCAGGTTTCAAGCAGATCCGTGAATGTTTTGCCAATCAGTCCTATTAAACTGCCAGACCTGGAGAAGAGGTACTCTGTCACAACTGTGTCCACCCTGACCCCACAGATTTGCAACCTTCCTCCCATTTCTGATATCCTCTCCCAGTTAACAGTCCTTTGTTTCAGTTCAACACAGCTGTTCATCATGAAGAGGGAGAGGGGAGGTAATTTAGTAATTCTGGATGAAATCCTGGCCGATTGAAGTAGGTGGCAAAACTCCCATTCATACCCACAGGGCCAGGATTTTATCCATTTTATACAGCTAAGTTTATATAAATGTGTCTCTCTGTGTGTAAATTTGTGTATTTAGCAAAGGTCTTTTTACGTTCCATTACTATTACAGATAAGTAATTTTACAACAGTCAAGTTGTGTTACACAGTGATTTTTGTGTACTGATAATACCCACGTCTGACTACATGTCCTGAAAATGGGATTCTTCTTATCTGCAAACAAACTGTGATGAAATGCCAGTCATGTATACCTTATGCCTTCCTGGTAACTCACTCCAGGCAACAGAGGGAGCGCCTGTACCTGAGACCTGCTCATGGCACAGGTGACCTGGCGCTGCCCGAGCGAGGGGCACTGAAACCCCTCCTGAAAGGGAAGTGTTCTACTCTTTCCAGAACGCTGTTGAGTGGGAAGCCTGCTTGTGCTTGCCTGCTGATGGGTTTCACATTCCTGGGGCAGGCAGCTACCAAGCAGTTGGGTAATTTCTGCGCAACTGAGCCAGGCTGCCTACTGGTAGGATACCAAATACTTCAATTTAGTTACAGCTCACTTTAAAACTGATAGCAGGAAGGATGAGAGATTTATTAGTGTTCCAACAGTGTATTTCTAAGTTTCATATAGCTAGGTCACTCTGGTGTGAGAAAAGAGAAAGTATGAAATGCCTTATTTTAAATAAGAAAAATAACAGCTATTGTTCTGTAACAATTTCCAGGCCGTAGACATTTTCATGCGTCACACTGTCCTAGACCCACCAGCCCTGTATCTACCGACAGCAACATGAGTGCTGTTGTAATACAGAAGGTCCGACCTGCCAAAAAGCAGAAACACCAGCCAGGACATCTGCGCAGAGAAGTCTACACAGATGGTGAGTCCACTGAAATGGGTGAAGCTTCAGTGAACCTTTCTAAATATGCATTCAGTGTGTGCGTGTGTGTGAAATTTTTCCACAGAGATAACATTATGTTTCAGAATTTGGTGATTTGTGTTTCCTGTTGCTAAACACCCTGAACAGATTAATCATTTTAAACGCCAGAGTTCCTTAATACTGCACCTCGGTGCTTCCACTCCGGAGCCTTGCACCTGTTTTCTATAGTGTCCTAATCGGCTAATTACTGTCATTATTTAAGAGCCCAGATAGCATAAATAGTACAGTCATTAAGAATAATGTGTGGTTAGGATTCAAATCTTCATTCACATCACTGACTATTAAAACCTTCGGAATATATCTTTTCTTGAAATAAACAATATACCATTCAAATGGTGGACAGCAAAAATCAATGAATTTTAATCCTGACCACAGCATTGTTGGAAGCGGATACTTTGTGAGTAAAAGCAAAATCTAATCATCTTCTTTCGTGCCTTCACACACAATATCAACTCTTGCTGAAAAGGTAGTGCATGTATTCTCCTGGGAGTGTTGGGGGATAATGCAAACATTGTGATGTTGTCTAGAGAGAGCCTTTAATGAAAATGCCTCAGGTGGTGCAGCTTTTATTAAAGCACTACCTTCCAGTTTTATAAAGCAACCCACAGGCTTTGTTGGAAATTCATGTACGATAAATTCTCCAAGACTTAACCCATCTTGTCAAGTTTCCTGAATGTGCTAACAGAGGGGAGGGAAGAGAAAGGCATCGTTCCCCACCTCCTGCTTCTCTGCAACAACAATCTGATTAGGATTTTCATTACCCGTCTGAAATTTTTCAAAGAGGGGCATCATTTGCTATTATCATATGAAAGCCTAATATTATAGATCCTTATCTAGGGTTACAAGAAGGGAGTTTTGAACCACTTCTCCCTGCAATTCCTGCCACTTGACAAAAAAATTTAATACAAAGCTCACAGCACGATGAGCAGAAGTAATTTAGCAATGAGTGGTTGACCATGCTATTATCTGTACTTTATTCTGAGTATTTTCTCTCTCTAGCATCTATCTGATACCAGGCTGCATTAAATACTGGCATGACACAGTGCACCTGGGCCTCTTGGCTTATGCCCAGGCCCCTTCTGTCAGCGAAACCAGGCTGTTGGAATATTATCTGATTTCAAGAGGTTATTGCAGTGGTTTTGTGCATGTTTGCTTCTGTGAAAGGATAAGACAAGGTGTAAATCCCAAAACTGTACCAGAAATGTTACGTTGATGAGACCCTCGTAATGGCATTTTGCAGGATTTTATGGACATTTTATCAGCTTTTATTCTCTTGAAGAGAACACTCTTAACTGAATAGTTGGCCAAGCATCAAACCTCAATGCAAACACAACAGCTGAAACAGAAGTAAAATGTGGATGGGAGTTTTATGTGGCCATTTTCCTCTAACACAGGGATAAATAAGAGGTGGGCCTGTGTTTGATGACAGGTTTTTGTGAAAGTAATTATAGAAAGTCAAATCACAGAGCATTGTAGTTAGATATTGCAATAGATTTGGCAATCATTATCAATATTAGTTTTGTGTTATATAGCACCTGCTTACTTCAGCATGTTTTCTAATTAGGTAAGAATTTCTGCTAACCTGTTTAGTGTGCAGTACAACGTGGTCATTCAGGGAACAGCAAATTATGGCTTTAATTTCTGCACATCCAATAAAACCCAGTTCAAAGGTTAAAGGGATTGTTCAGTTATGATTTTTTAATTTTTTTTCCCCTTCAATCCATTTAGATAAGCGTATTTGGAACCTTACTGAAGATTCTAAATATCCATTTTAATAGCCATTTTATTGTCCCTTTAGAATTATCTATAAAATAGCATCTACTAATTGTTTTCCTTAAGTGGAGAAAAATGATATGGAGACCTGAAAAAACATTTAAGCACAACTGCCCTTTTTCAGATATATTTAGGTTTCTCTATTGGCTAGCTGTCACACTGTCACTTATCTTTTTTATAAAAGAGTGCCTGATACAAAGATTTTTTTTTCCTCCTAGGGAGTGAACGTACTTGTGTTTATAGTAGAGAAAAGCAAATATTCTGCATTTTTTGGTGGCTAGAAGCATTGAATAAATACTAAAATTAGAATGCATTGCTTCATTACATTCTCAGCCTTTACAATGGAATTTACTTTCACATGTGAAGAGTTTTCTACTGTTTCCAAATCACCCAAATTAGTATTTGCTGGCAGCTTCATGCAATACTTGTTTCATGAAGAGTTTACACAATTAGTTGACAGAAAGGACATATAAATAAATTAAGTCTTTGCAGGAGTGATTGAAAACTACAATAGTATTATCGTCAGCAATATATGTAAGTCTTAAAAAATGCTGTATTTTTTTCTTTATACAGCAATATTTGTGAAAGAGGTTGGTATTTCTAAAAGTGTGTTACAAATGTAGCAGTGAAATGTCTATTGCTACCCTTTTTTAAATGAAGAAGAGTGCTCTCAAATCTACTCTGCATTGTACAAGTAGTAACAATTTTGTATTTTCTGCTAGCATTAGTTCTCATCAGTTTGTACTTTAAGGGGAACAGGATTCAGCTCAGTTGTTTTTGTTCCTTGACAGTCATCCAGGCAGTGAAATGTTCTCCATATTAGTTGCTAAAAATCTGTGCTCAGTAGGTGGTAAGGATTAAAGTGTATGAATTTTTAAGTGCTCTCCATCTAGCCTTTTAGAGAGTTAACTACCAAGAGTGCATTACAAGAACCAACTAGCAGATGTATCCTCCTTCTCAATACCGCCTGACCTACTTATATATTTAATTTAAGAAATCAAATTTTAAAATAATGTTTGTCTTTTCTAAAGTTTTATATTTGATACTGAAGTTTTATATATGATACTGTCCACTAAACCATCTTGAATTGTTTCTTTTAGTAGTTACAAACCCTCAGAATTGTAAGCATTTAGATAAAAAGGGAGATGTGCTTTCCCTTTGCTTCAATTCAGTAGGTCTTTCAATAGAAATTACGCCATTGTCAGTTCACACGAGATTTTAAATCTTGATTCTTCTTTAAATCTCTGAGTGACAAAGGAAAAATACTGACATTTTCACAACAAGCTGATTGAGACTGTAACAGAGAAACCTAGAAGCAGCACGGCAATGTTTGAGGGCTGGTCTGCTAGCGAGGTCCTTCGCTCTGCTGTCTCAGTGGAGGACGAAGGCGACCCCCATGGCAGCAAAGATGCAAGGGATAATGCGTCAGAAGCCACAAAACCCTCTGAGAATGGTCATGTAGGGGATAGATAGGGCTTTGCATCAAAAGGTGGTGGGATCAGTAACCCACATGAAGTGCACGCAGCATGGGTATTTCTTTGCCTCAGCCTTCAATAGTAAGACCAGTTGATCTCCAGATATCCAGCCCCCTGATCCAGAAGACAGGGATGACAAGCAGAATGAAGCCCCCATGATCCAAAGGGAAGCGGTGTGCACGACCTGCTGCTCCACTTAGATGCACACAAGTCTATCGGGCCAGGTGGGATCCACCCAAGAGTACTGAGGGAGCTGGAAGAAGCTCTCACCAAGCCATTTGCTATCATTTATCAGCAGTCCTGGCTAACCAGGGAGGTTCCAGTGAACTGGAGGTTAGCAAATTTGACACCCATCTACAAGAAGAGCCATAAGGAGGATCCAGGGGACTACAGGCCTGTCAGTCTGACCTCAGTGCCAGGGAATGTTACCGAGCAGATCATCTTCAGTGCCATCGTGCAGCACATAGAGGACAACCAAGGCTTCAGATCCAGTCAGCATGGGTTTTTTGAAAGGCAGGTGCTGCTTGATTAACCTGATCTCCTTCCATGACAAGATGACTGTCCTGATCCAGTGTCAGGGGAGGTTTCGATATGATCCTAAGAGATAGATTAAGACACAAATGAGGTCAAATGCCGTATACCCAACACAGTTTTTATTACAAAAAAAGAAAAATAGTAGGAAAGAGTAGCGATAGGACAGAGTGAAAATACAAGGCAGAAACCAAGCAAGCAGTTGGTAGAGAGTCGCCAGAGCAGTTACCACCACGGGCCCATGGCGCTCTGTTGGGCTGGAGCCATCTTAGCTTCAGTGGTGGGCGGTGGAGCAGGAGCAGGGTGACCAGCAGGAGCAGGGGGACCAGCAGGCCGGAGATCCATAAGCAGGCGAGCCCGTGGCGGGTGAGTCTGTGGCGAGCAGGTGAGGAAAAAGAGAGACTTGGGCAGTGTCTGCACCCCTTTAGATAGGGTCTGGGTTGGGTACTGACATCCCACATCCTCTCCAGGCTGGTGTGGGTTCTTTTAGGTGCACATGGGTGCCATGGGAGTGTCGCGTGCTCTAAGTGCCCAGCACGACCCCAGGAGGAGGGGCTGCCGGGCCTGGGCACCGGGACTGTCCCGTGCGGATGCCCACGCTGCACCTCCCTGGTCACAGGAGGGGGTGACAGGCCGGCGGTGCACCTAGGGTTTTTGGGGTGGCCCTGGCTCACACATGTGCTCGGCTCCTGACAATGTGGTCTGCGGCCCAGACAGGCTCTGACCAGCTCACACAGCTCTCGCACATGCAGTCCTCCACCCAAGGCTGTCTTGGAGACAGACTCCATGGTTTAATCCTTCACAATGACCCACCTAGTGGATGAGGGAAAGGCTATGGATGTTGTCTACCTGGACTTTAGTAAAGCCTTTGACACTGCTTCAAACAGCATCCTCCTGGAGGAACTGGCTGCTCATGGCTTGGATGAGTGTACTCTGCTGGTTGAATGTCAGAGCCCAAAGAGTGATGGTGAATGGACTTAAATCCAATTGGCAACTGGTCACAAGTGGTGCTCCCTAGCTCTCAGTATTTGAGCCAGTTCTCTTTAATATGTTTACTAATGATCTGTATGAGGGGATCGAAACTTACCCACAGTAAGTTTGCGGAGGATACAAAGCTAAGTGGGAGCATAGATAAGCTCGAGGGTAGGAAGGCTCTTCAGA